AAATAGCGAGAAATTCTATCTTACACTGACCTGTGCTTATGTGCCCCAGCGTTCCTGACTTTTAGTGTGCCTGTAGAAAATAAATAGTTCAATGCATAGTAATTCGAGACCGCGATCCTTTGCTATTTGAATATTCCACAGAACGACCGCAACACCACATCCATATCCAATACTTTATACTGAACTGTCTCCCACACAGAAAATGTTTGATCTTTGCCCCGAAGCAGGTCAATGCTGGCATGCTCGCATAGATTAGCAAATACTTCGGGGTGAAATTATTATATCATGATGAATAATCCCAAAACAGTTCTTTTATTTATGACGTCATAAATATGCACAATTTTTGGTTAAAAGCAGGTTTGCCAGATGTAATCCAAAACAGACAAGCAATGACGTTTTATTCGAATTGTTACGTGATATCAGGGTGCATCATTTTTTTACTCATTTTTCTTACATATTTTTCTTAAAACAATTTTTTAACCATGCTTATTAGATGAGTATCAGTTGAAATCAGCGTTTTTATTTGTCAGTTTAAAGCCTCTCGGCTTGGAAACTTACACGAACAGTAGAGGTGAAAGGTCAGAGTTAAGCTGTTGCAAATGTTAAGATTTTTGCACGACTGCGATGTGCTGCATTTGAAACTGAGTATAATAATTGGAACTCCCTGGATTATATGGAATATTATATCTGATGGAATTATCTTGATATTACTGGTATATATGTTTGTTCACTTACGGTACACAATATATCTTTATTTATATTTCATTTATTTATTATTTACATATTGAATAATCCACATTGTGGATCCATTTAAAAAAAAAAAAAAGAAACTGAGTATAAGTATAAGTTTATTTCGACTCCATAATCAGCAAAACAATAAAATGAATGGTAAATATAAATAAATAAAAACTGATTATGAAATCAGGAGAGCGAACAAAACCTTAGATAAGGTTTAAAACGTACAGAATGTATATAAGATGGAAGGTTTTGCCAAGAAGATGTGGTACGTGTTCACTCACCTAAAATAATTGAAATATTTCACACACGCACCCACACACACAACCCTATAGAAGTTATTACGTAAAGGGAACATGAAAAATTACATACTGGTAGTTAATAAAAAATAAATAAATAAAAATTACTTGCCACACCATATTAATAAATTTATGATGATTGCCACTGCCAAATTGATCAATTTTATAAATGGGAGTGAACAGTAAAGATAAACTTTTATAAAAAAATATATTGTCAAGCTGATTATAGATGGAGTCAAATGCCAAAATGCCCAACCAAAGTTGCCAGAATTGGGTGGATGAAGAGGTGGGCTAGACCACTTCATTGCCCAAACTAGAGCCTATTATTGCCAAATTATAGTCCAGATTGTAATAAGTATTTAAATCTATCAGTAACTTTATAGGTATGAGTAATTATAATTAATTAAGGTAGAAAGACAGGGTATAGGAATACAGGAATATGTTGGTTGCTAAGGTTATAAGTTTTTTTTTTTTTTTCATTCTTAGATATTGACTTCTGCAAGGATAAAGGAATTAGTATTGTTATTTTGCAGGATCATTTCTTCATTTAATTATTGTGGCGTAATAGATGTCAATTCAAGTTTATCGTGGATGAGACATCAGCCTGCGAATTTTGTTGTTGTAGACATCATTTATATTCAATAAATGAATGCATGCAATTATATTGTAATTCAACCAGTATGTTGTGCGAATGCGGTTCAGTGGAAATATCCTTTATCAGTCTATGCAACTGAATATAAGTTAATGCGGTGTATCAGCAGAGTACGGTCCGGGTACCGGTCACTATGATTGTTAATTTCTCTGTGGTTGTGTGTGGGGGTGTCGGTGGGTAGCCTACGTGTGTAAAATAATTTTAGGTGAGAGAACACGTAACACTTCTTGGCAAAATCTTTCATCTTAAATTCTATAGGTTTTAAACCTTATCTAAGGTTTTGTTTGCTCTTCTGATTTCATAATCAGTTTTTATTTATTTATTTTTATCAATCATTTTATTGTTATTCTGATTATAGTCAAAATATACTTATATAGCCTACGGTGTTCATTCATCGAATCGAAATAAACTTATAATAGTCGAGCCAAATTTGAATTTTGCTGACTTTCAATGACAGAATGAACTTACAGATCTAATAATCTATTTCCTATTACGGTACTATATTCAGATATTAGCAAAGAAACTTTTTGTCAATCTATTATTTTGTTTTTGAGTTATGGGAATCCCCACTCATTTCAGCACAGCTCACGTTTTGCAAAACAGATCTGTCCTATTCAGCTATGAAACTGAAGATTTCGAGAAAATGCCATTTCACTTTCACCGGCCGCAATAATTATATTGTATGTTTAGAAGTCTTGTATTGCAATTGACCTGCATTAAAACGTGATATATATTATCTGAGGTGGGAACTATGATATACACATGATATAGCATGGGTAGACTATTCCAATCTATCACTATCTCATACTCAAATACTTCGAATGAATAAGAGTAAAACTAATCCTGATATGTGATAGGAGAGTAAGTACGGCAACCACAGGATGTTTCTGAGCAATTGAACATTCCAGGTTCATGGCCATAGTTGGAAATAATCAAAACAACTTAGAAGTCACATTTCCTCATCCTTTTGATGGCGAGAATTCTCATTTGATAATTTTCCAAGAAATTCAGACCTGCAACGTAAAGTAACATGCTGACATGAGCAAAATCATCTATTATGTTCAATAATAAAATGTAGTTTTAGTTTGGAAGATGATCCACGGTGATTAACAAAATGTATTATCTTTATGCAGGCATTAGCATTGTTATACTTAGTTACTGATCTGAGTAAGGTTGAGCTGACTTATCATGAATGAAGATTACATTAAACAAACAAATTCAACCCAAGCCGGTTTGCTTATGACATCACTCGATAGCTTGAGAGAACAAAACATTCTATGCGATTTCGATGTCAAAGTTGGTGACAAATCGTTCCGTGCTCATCGCTGTGTCTTGGCAGCCTCATCAGAATACTTTAAAGCGATGTTTACTAGCAAAATGAAGGAATCTCGTGATGGTTTTATCAATATGAAGGATGTCGATCAGAATGGGATTTCCCAATGTATAGAATTCATGTATAAAGGAGTAGGAAATTTGAAAATGGAATACGTTCAACAAATCCTGCAAGCATCCAACCTGTTACAAATGGTTGGCTTGACTAACTTTTGCTTTCATTACTTGAAAACCAATCTATCTCAAACCAATTGTCTTTCTGTCATCAATTTGGCTCATGCGTACGATCGTCATGATATAAAAGAACAAGCAGAACAGGTGCTGATCACTAATTTCAAATCAGTAATTTCCTCTGAGATGTTCCCGTTCATTATCAAGCCAGATCTCCTGCGTTACATAAAAGTTTCAAATGTGAGTTATCAAACATCATGGCAAGCTATGATAACATGGGCAAGAGCAAAAGATGAAGATGCAGAGAGATGCTTTGCCGATCTTGTTACAGTCGTCAATATCCAGACTTATCCTTTCAAATTTCTTCTGGAGACTGTGTTGGAAGAACCACTGGTGAAAAGAAATGATATTGCAAAGAATTCAGTCATCACTGCATTATTCTCTGATGTCAAGAATCTTGAGACAAATCTTGAGATTGACAACTGCTTCATCCTGAAGAATCTGGCTGAAATTCATCAAGTTACCAACCCAAATCCAGTGAAAGATGTCATGGATCGATTCCTGGAAGCAAATTTCGAACAAATCATTGAGAAAAAAGAGTTCTGTGATATCAGCAAAGATGACATCATAAGGATTTACAAATCCCAAAACACAAAATATTTTTCTGAGACTGTTAAATGGCATGGAGCTCTTAGATGGATAAAGCATGATCTTCAAAGGAGGAAAAAGATTTTTCATGAACTGTTCAGCCTTCTTGACCTGAAAAAATTTCCCTTAAAATTTGTGGAAGAAACCATCCGCTCGGAAACTTTAGTCAATGACTCTCGTAAATGCTACGATAGACTTTTTGATGAAATTTTATCTCGGGCAAGAAAGAGTTCAGAATCTTCTAATCAGTCAGTCCAGCAACCAACATCTACAAGTATTAGAGCAAATTCAGTAACTTCCCCGGGCAACACTGCATTAAGTATTCACAGCTCAAGGAATGTCGAAGAACCACAGATGGGAGCAGTGGGTGGAAACAGGACGGACACTCCAGGTACAATCTGCATTTGTGTTTCATAACTGAGATTACTGAAGTAAGCACTGAGTCTGATTTCACTATGGATTGTTCATGTCTAGCTTATTGTTTTACATAATTCTGAACAATATTGTGATAATTTTTAATTCATAAATAAAATAAATACTGTTATAATATTTAGCATAATTAGGAAAATAGGTCATCTTAACTTCATTCTTTCATTCGTTTCTGTTTTTTAACTAACGAGGTTAAAACTGAATGAACCAATACCCAGTAAATACTATATTTGGATCACTGGGTGATGACGTAACAGTTGAAGCAATAGGCTTAACTGTTGCCATTTCAGATTACGCCTTCCGGGTTCAAATTCCACACCTCACCCACCACACCCAAGGTGTAATGGGTTGGGTAGGCAACGCTGTTCCTCCCTAATAATAGTAGCTTCTCACACATCAGTGGCTTATCAGTTCCTTACATATCAGTGACTGCTTGTACAGGACTTTGTTCAGTACGGAGGCGTAGATAAGCGTCAAATACAAAAATTCAATACTGCTTAAAAAGCATAAATAAAAATATAATATCCAATTTGAGCCTAGTATTGGCATGGGGGCTAAGGTATTTCGTGGATTCAAGAATCACAAAAGAGTTGTTCGTTTATTTATTATATAATATTACAATATGACCTTGTTTATTTTTTATGCCCTATCAATTCATTTTATGTATAATAATAGCCCAGTATTATGATATTTCTTACTAATCCCCTCCAATCAAATAATGTTTCAATTTCCAGAATCTCAGTCTTCAAGTCAAGCTACTTTATCTGGTCTAAGAATCATCAACCAACAACCACCTGGTGGAGAAATGTCAGTGGATTGGTTGAGGGAATCACTGCCAGGATATGGATGGAACACTTATGCCATCACCTACTCATTCCCTGCTGGAAATCTGAATGTGAGTCATGTAATGATTTCAGTTGGTTGAATATTAAATTATGTATTCACTGGAACCAAGATTCTTGTTGTATTAATTTACATTGATTTTATGTTTAACGTTAAATCTTCCAAATACAATTTTCTTGGCCCCCAAATAGCAATTGAATGCAAATTACACCTTTGTTATTACATTGTTCACTTCAAACAGGCCTCTGCACAGGCAACCACTAATGCATAGGAAGCTGCTATTTTTGGATGGAATGTAAATTTTTCGTTTCAGCAATGCCTACTCAAGTTATTACATCCTGGATAAGGCAGTGGGCATGGGACTTAGGTGAACCTGAGACCTTCAAATTATGATCCAACATAGCTAAGTCCAATGCTATAACCACAAAGCCATCACAATACCTTAGTGCTTAGATGTTCTAGAAATTTTTTCCGATGTTCCAGGAAGCAGTTTTTTATGTTGGTTTAATGACCCCTTGCAGAATTTACCTCTACCAATGCTGATGTCCAAAATAAATGAATATATTCACAATCGTTTATATTACATAGAGCAAATTCTTGATTTGAGGTTTCATTTCAAAATTTGTCTTTCAAAGCATTTGATTATTGAAGAAATATGGTCCAGAATGTTTTCAAAGATAAGTTGGAATACTACTTTTTAATTTATTTTTTGTCTGGAGAGATCGTGAGCTATGAGCCATACATGTCCCCACCCCCGCGAGAGAATAGGATTCACATGTTTTCAGCTAACATATTTATCAGCCAAACTAGCTCAACTAATTTGGCTATTTTCGCTGTCAAATTTTTATATTGACATTTTTATTTTTACATAGTTAATGAAATATATCAACACAGCACATAACATAAAGCAACTAGGCGCCCAGTTTTAAATCACACGGTGGAATTGGGGTCCGTATTAACGGCACATGTGGCATGGCACTTTTGGCACAGGTTTAAATTCTGACTGTTTGTCGTCAAGTACAAGTGTCATTTAGTCTGTCGACATCGATAAACTAAATTCCGACACAATTATCCCTCTACGCAGGTATTTTAACTACACAATTACTTTATAGATATATTGACATGACCGCCTAGCCCTAGACTGTCTCAAAATATATGATAGCAATTGTAAAATATTACAAAATAGTAAAAAATCATTCTCGACGTTATAGGTTGGCCTACTTTGTGTCGGTGCTGATTGATATTCCTTCATGTTGGCTCTGACTTATTGCATCGACGATTGCGATTAGCCATGAAAAAAAAATATTTGTAAAATGCTTTTAATTTGAACGTAGGACGGCGGCGCTAGAATGTGTGGGTGATATTCGATATTTTTTCAAACACGAATAACGATATTCGAAGGTCGCGATATATTAAATTCAAATTGGACATCCCGGCTTATGAGTTTTTTTAATTCAACACTGAGATTACTAGCGTTACTGTACAATGTATCTTAATCAGTTAAAGCAAACACCAAACATTAGTTTCATATTATGTGATATATCTTTTTTTTTCGATCTGAAATAATGTGTACTATGAACAACGCTCAAAGACCATTGTTTTAACTCGTCCGCCCTACACAGCACACCTAATTAAGTAACAATTACTTGGTATCGGTAGTATCGGTATTGGTGTTTTTAGCTGGGATCGGCGACAAAAGTGGTATCGGTACATCTCTAATTGTACAGTGATTTTCACAGACTCTTGTTTGACATGGCCCAGTTTGAAATATATTCAATATCGGAAAAAGATATTATTTTAAGAATTTATATGGAATAGTAATTTAGGTATTTTATTTTGGCAATAATCATCACAATTTATCTTAAGTCTGATAGTTTTGTCCGACTATAAGATTCCAAACGCCTAAAATGACAAACTTACCATATGAATTTTTTCTATGAAACGTTTGTCATGTCTTTTATTTCAAACGGGGCTATGTATGAGCAGCCACTGATACGCAAGGCACTACTACTATTTATTGTAGTATTGAAATCTGTCTGGTTGCATTGTCACCTAATTTATCATACACTCCTACCTATTTCATATTTACTGAGTAATGTGCTTGAATCCAGGATTTTTAACCTGTGATGCCAACGTAGTTTGGCTACTTCTCTTCACATTAATTCCCAATTCGAGGATCTGACCAACGATGTATATAAATTGGCAAGCAATGCTCTGCCTGAAAAAATGTGGGTCCTTTGTTTTTTCCATAAATAACCTCTTACATATCAGTGGATTTTTTGTGTGTCAGTAATATGTTAGTGTCATCATATTCTAACTCTGCTCCCAATCATAGATATATTATGTTTGATTTCTTTTTTGAAAAATTAAAATTTTTTTTTAATAAATGTTATGTGAAGGCAACTCTAAACAAGGTGCCACTGATTATATGTTTCCTGAGGATATTTTACTTGTTTGCACATGTAAAACATCTTTGGTTCAAATGTGTGCCCTCCTCCTGACCTAGAAATCAAATGTTTTGATAGTCAATGTTTAGTGAGAAAAATTCCAATCGTTCAATTAAGGTATTTATGTATCAGTGCCTGCTTGTTTTGTGCCTTGTTCAGAGCGAGTATTTGAAAACATCCCAACTAAAATCACCAAAAAAATGCTTTTGCAACTAGCTGCTTCTGAGGAATCGATTCTGAGTTGCAGAAATTTTAGTTTAAAGCTCAACATATGACCTGGTGTTTGTATCAGTTTTACCAAAGTATCAGAGATGTAAGTTGAATAACCTATTTATGTTTATTTTTGCAGGGTGTTTCATATGAGGCAAAGAAGTTCACAGAATATTTGCCTTTTGCCCCGTACTTTAAGAAGTTGCTCCAGGAAGCATTCAATGCAGGATTGCTTTTCAAGATTCAGATAATTGGAAGCAGCAGAGGAGAGATAATATGGAATGATGAAATTCCTCATAAGACTAACAAACTTGGAGGTCCAGATAAGTAAGTTTTCTGATTAAATATTTTAAAATATGCACAATTGTTATAAGGATCGACTGGGGCCCCAACTAAGTAATATCAAGTACAGATGTATTAAAAATTTAGTTCCAACAAAATTCGAGATTTAAAATGTGAATTGCAAAAATTAAAATTGGCGCTGCTCCGTAGTATGTGCAACAAGATGGCGGACACCTGAACATAGTATGTTTACCAGGTTAGATTTCGGCCATAATTTTATTCCAATTTTCCTTGTTTTAGTTCGATTACGAGTTCGGAGACCAGCCAAGTGACTCCTGTAGTATTTGTACCTGAAATTATTTCTCAACCCAAACCTGATACACATACACATTACTTGCACACAAAAAGTCATGTTTTGGTCAAACACTGTTTTTTAAACTCTTATTTATAAATCAAAGAAAGGCATGTTTGGGTTGCGATCTTGATCCCATAACCTTCCATCCAGCTTGTGACATTTGTAACCACTCAAGCACAGATATCTTGTTCGAGGTAAAATCAAGTACAACGTTCTCAACTTACCTCTCTTGATTTCAAGCAACATTTAAATTTGTTTATACACATCTTTTATACACCTCTCACTTTGAACAAGGCTATATATAAGGAACCATCGCATCCATTAAATTTCAGTTGATGGGCGAGGGATGGCCAGGAGACGTGTTTCTTTCTATTCCTGATAAATATTGACCATGATTTGTCATGCTGTTGCAAAATGTTAGGGTGTATGTGACTGAGGGTAATTTTTTAGTGACAATCAGAATCAACCATTATGATATTTAGGCTTGAATTGTCTGTAACATGATTGTAACCAGGTTCAACGACCAGCTGTTGTTTACTAGGTTTCTCTGTTGTCACATCTGTCATTGGAATTATGGTTGCCCAATTTTGTAACTATTTGATCCGTATTTCAGTAACGACTAAATTTTCTGCTTCTCTGTTGTCAATGTTTTATTGGGCATCCAACATATAAATTATAGTTACACTTACACTGCTTATTCTTAAAATTCTATTATAAACGAGATCTTTGAGTTTTTATATATACGACGCTTATCCACACATTTTGCTGTGAACAAAGCCCTGTTTAAGCTTCCACTGATATGTAGCAATATTTAAGGAGCTAATAATATTTGGCAGAACTAGTTTCTTTTTTGGTTCGGCATTGCCTACCCAATATTTTGGGTAGGGTGATGGCCATTGGATTTGAACCAAAGATGTGCAGTTTGCGATGCCAACCCAATCAAGTTTAACGCTTCAACCATTATGTCATCGCGCATCATGAATATATATTTTATTTTGTGTTTTTACAACTTCGGTTTGATGAGTGCTCTGTTCAAGCAGACAATAGGACTTTGAGGCATTACTCGGTTTCAAAACTCTAAAATGATCAATGTTCGGCGAAGCCTTCCCTTGCACCATGGATAAGGTGTTGGGCTTAGTTAGTGATTTTGATGTTTCATATTTTAGTACAGTATCAATGAAATCAAATACCTGAAAAAATTACCTGTTTAGACATCTCTACGAGTAAAGTTGACTTGACATTCTTTTTACACATCTAAACCTTACATTCAAATCTCACTCACACAGGCATTGCTAAGTTAAGCATTTCTTAATTCTTAGTACTAAGGAATCAAATATTTGTGACTTTCATTGTTCTTTTTTCAAACATCTTATTTTTTACAGTTAATTGAAATCAGACTCATATGCAACTACCATTATCTCTCATGCAATCTAACCTTTTTCAGCAATGGATATCCTGATGCTGACCATGAGAATAAACTTTGTGATGCATTGGAGGCGAAATTAAATGCAGCAGGAATTGAATACTAACAATAGATGATCAACAATGGACGTTCAACACTATCCGGACAATACTATATTGTCTCATACAGGGATGGCCATTTCCGAATACTAAACTATTCCGAATACATTCTAAAATAATGTTTTCGAATCTGGAATTCCGAATACATTCTAAAATCGAAAATAACACATTTTTGTTTAGTTTATTAAAACCCAGTAAATTAGGAAATAAGCTTCAATAAAAATATCAGAATAAAGCCACAAACCAACAATATATGTACACAAGATAATTGATAGTTTATAGCTATCAATAAAAAATAATAGCAACTTGTGACACAGTCAGTTTATTAAAATTATTCACTTTGTACAAATGACCATATGAAAAGATAGCCAAGGAGTTGTCTGACGCTTTCTATCATTGGTACCATGATATTATGATAATAGTCAAGTCTGTTGACAAAAATACTACTTGTATTCAGATAATTGTGTATATTTTCTGAGAGTAATAAAATTAATTGGCAATACAGGCAACTGAAACAAGCAGCAACAATCGAAAATCCATTATGCCTTTAAAAATTCTAATATTTAAGCATAGAGTATTCTACTACCTACCAGTATATTTGTATATTAATTTATGTGAACCATATTGTTATTATGTGTAACATATTGTTGTGTTTGAAATTAGAAATAAATTAGTAGAGGATAGATGACCACCACTGCCAGCCGCGCAGCCAGGATTTTCGAAATCGGAAATTCCCATTGCCGCCTGTAACACCCAAAGTGACTTTGGTAACATCCACCGCGATTCCGCGCTCGTTAAAAGAGTCGTCTTCTCAGCGTATAATGATCATCCTGTTACGTAAAATATTGTATCCATGACAACTACGAGTTTCTAAAATATCTTTATATATTAATTTAATGTGTCCAACGTAACTCGCGGTTGCTTCTTCTTACGTCAAAAAAAAAACATTACCATTCGGTCCACGGCGATCTGCGACCTAAAAGTACGAGATAAACTGCCTGATGTATTTAATTTTAATATGTATTTTTGCAATCTTGCCAACTCGTTATCGCCGTTAGAAAAATCTCAAATAATGATATAAAATCCTGTTAAGTGTAGAGTATAATTCATTTCATACAATGAATATAAATATAAAGTTTAGCAGTAAATTGAAAATACGTATTCACTGCCGCGATTATGCCACCTGTTAAAAGAGTCGACTTTTACAACAAATAATATAACAATATATTATTCTGTTGTGCAAAGTGATGAATTCGTGGCCGATACGGGCATATTTGAAACGTCTTGCTTCATTATGAATTTAATTGTCTTCAATTTAACCTGCGGTTGCGTCGACAAAATAAAATCCTCTTATATACCATTGCAATCCGCGGTCATAAAAATAAAAACGTGTGGTAAACTGCCCGATTAAATAATGTTTTGATCCGTATTTTGCGAATTCAGCAAATATTTAGATGTACTTGTTAACAGTGTCTCCGCTCAATCGAAATGCTGGCACTCTGATTATTTTTAGATAAAACCGTTCGAAAAATCCGTAAATCTTCTGTAACATCCCGGAGTGAAATTTATTTCATCAAAATAAAATTGATTAAATAATTATGCGATTTTCGGGTTTTTCACTGCCTAGAAAAGCGTTTTTGAAATTTTCGCGGGCCTCAATAAAACTTATATTGTTTACGGTTTTATTTTCAGTAGTTTAAATTGCCGCTTTTCAATCAAAAAGTTGCGTTGTCTTTAGAAACTCGCCGCCGATGAACGTATTTACCAGATTCACAATTCCGTGCTCGTACAAAATTAAAATAATTGTCTTCGTTACGTGGAACAAATTTGTGGAAAATTTTCGTTTTAGTGAAAATAACACAAACGTAAAGGCGTTTACGGCCTAAATAACACGTTACGCTGATGAATGATGAAAACAATCACGCGCAAGTTTCTATCGAGCATGTTTTCATTCAACGGAAACGTCTTGAGAGCGGCGTCGAAAATGTGTGACGTCACACAAATATCCGATATTCTTATGAACGCTAATTCCGATATTCGAATACATTCGAATACTTTATTCGAATTGGCCATCCCTAGTCATCCATTGATTTTGTAGTGTCATTATCAAGCATTTCATCAAGCCACTTATAAATATTATAAAGTTCGGTGAATGCAATATCAGTCAGAATGACTCGGATATCTTTAAAGGACATTTTATATATCTCAAGGGAATTTTCAAAATAAAACAGCAAACGTTAAGGGTACAGTGGTAAAAAATAAGTTCCTGTCATTACCGGAACAGACCCTAAATCGCCTGAACGGGGTGGAAAATACATCTAAACCTACCGTAACTACCTGTAGCTATTTAGTGCATGATTGCCACCAGGTAAACTCATGTTGATATTAAATGAAGCACAACCGGTGTTAGCAAAACGATGTAATTTGCCGACGTTTCGAATTTCTATACAGAAAAAACTTCATCAGGGCATGATATGGAAAGGACACAAGTGGATATATATAGAGCAAGAAAAATATGAAAAAATTATCATGGGGTCAACTCTAATCTAAAAGGAAACGTCGGCAAATTACATCGTTTTGCTAACACCGGTTGTGCTTCATTTATTATCAATACCTGTAGCTCTCTTGTAAAACTTGTGTAGGAATTGAATACTAACAATACAAAAATCAACAATGGACGTTGGACTCTACATGGACAATATAATATTAGAACCCCTCCATTGATTTTATATTGTCATTATCAAGCATTCCATTATGCCACTTACTTACATATTATAATGTTTGATGAACTGCAATATCAGTCAGTTTTTCATCGTTTTTATCTGTTTCATTCTTTTATTGTTGATCAACTCCATGATAATTATGCATATATGTATATATTTTCTTATATTACATCTACTGTATCAACAAACTTTCAAATCAGTTCATCCTTCCACATCTGGCTAATTCCATCCTAATTACTTATACTAACTAATCTCTTATACTAATAGTTGTTTTGTTCTTAGGCCTTTGAGTAAGGATGAGAAGATGCGGTCGGTAGGAGTTTACAAATCTGTAAGAGAGAATGAATTTTTTTATCACTTTCCCAGTATTCATTCTTTTATAGGTGAGCAAACATGTGCTCATTTGTGTTTTTCATTTTATTATTATTCTTTCGTTTGTGGGGAAGGAAACACGTGCCTTTCATATTTTAAAATTATCCACAATAATTTGCTAAATTTATTAGACTCATGCTTATATTTTAACCCATTTGTAGATCGATTTCCAGACTCTGGTATTGTTGTTATGCTGATTTGGGAGTCAAAAATACTTTGTTTGCATATTTGACCCGTTTTTTTTATATTTTATTCTTCCACTGTTATTCAGTTCCATCTCAATTACTTCATCATTCTGGATAAAGATGTTTGAAGACTTTGCAAAAGTAAAAGAGCATTTTTATATTCATTGAAAAAATAATGCTTTGAGTCAAGGCTTTCCTGCCGAGAAGGCTAGTTGAGCACTCTGCTATCAGCCCGGTTACCGAAATCTGATCTATGTTCGGATGTATCATGAATTTGATTGGCAGGGGGAGCTGTAACCAACCAGAAATCCCACCATAATAGCCTCCATTAGTTTTTCCACTGCATTTTTGTGAACTATATTTTAGCGGTCCCTATATAATTATGATTTATCAAGTATGTCACGGTTGTCTGTGTATATATTTTTTATGTTTATATGCTTACATCTTCAATGCTGTTTTGTCTTTTTGCGGAAACATTCGAATTTGTATTATTTATAAGTCTCCCGGCCACCCATTACATTGCAGGAAAAATATATCTCTTCACTCTTTTTCTGGCCGTTAATGATCTGCAGTTCAAATCAGATTTGACTTGAGATATTAAATGTCCAAAACAATATTTTTCAAATACTCAACACTGTTGTTGAGTCTGTTTGGGAATACTGGTAATATAAATAAAAAATTTCAAAACAATATTTTTGTATATTTTGGCCAACATTCCATGTGTGTTTCAAAGTTTCTTGTTCTTTAGTTCAGGGTATTAGCCAACAAAATCGTCACTATTTTGATCCCAGCAAGTCTACTTTGGCCAAAACACTCAGCATTCATCAATCGAGCGAGGTCTACTTGCAACTTGATCAGATCATTTCTGTGCATCAAATTATCTGCTTTTGAGATGAATTTTTATTTAATACAATGAAACTTGAAAAGAATTGAACCAAATTGATAATTTTGTAATTTTACACTTGTTCTGAGCAAGCGTATGGACAAGCAGTAACTTTTAAATAGCGAACATGTTTGAAAATATTAAGTCATTTGTGTTCAACACAATTCTCTGTTTCTCGAATAGAAATGAGAAAAATATTCGCTGTTAAAGGCAGAGCTGTCGTATTGACCTATAATGTATACATGTATTGATATATTTTTACTGGTCGCGCTGATTATCTTTTGACTTTCAGATCCAGAGCCATAATATCACTTGTATAAGTGAAAGTCATAATATTGACTGAAATTATCCAAAGTGAAACTTTTCAGCAGGAAACCTATCTTTTGAAAATTGAATTTTTCAACCTTTTGTCAGGCTTAAAATTATTGTATTTTGAAGTTCTTTTGTAACTTTTTGTTGACTTTACTGGCCTGGTTACGAGATAGAATTCTGTTTTCTATTGAACATTTTCAATCATAATCAATTTAACTATTATAATAAGGTGAGTTGATATAATGTGTTTTTGATTTTTCTCTTCTCATTCCATTTTGTTATAACTAGCCATTTTACACTTTTTGGCATGAACATTTTAGCAATTTCTATTTTCCATTGCCTGTCAAATCCAATCCAAAGTTTTAATCAAAACAAATATTACTTCAATATTGCACACACTAATATGCATTTCATCTCACCTTTCCATATCTTCGCATCATTCTGATATATGCAGGGGTGGCGGAAATTCACAATAATATACCACTTGTTGTGACTACAGTTGACAAATATGGACAATAAGTGACATATTGTTATTATTATTCCAATTTCACTTGCAGTAGTGTATAGTCCAATTTTATATCTATCTTTCTATTTTAGTATAAGCAATTTTCTTTACTATTATGCATTTTTTAATCATACTTGCTGCTTCAATCATATGTAGTTCCATGCTCTGCTTACATTTTATCTGATATCATTCAAGTCTAACTCTTGCCACTGATAACATTGACTCATATTAGAAAATTCAATTTGGTTTTTATGAAGAATTTTCACTCTTAACAAGGCTCTGTAGAAGCAGTCACTATTTTTGGAAGGAAATCTATCCGATTTGGCAACCCTGAAAAAGGTGGGGGTTGAATCAGAGGTATTTAACCCACAATGCCGATATATCCAAATCTTTAACACCCACTAGGCCAGTGGTTCTCAACCTTTTTTCTTTCATGGCCCATTTTTTGTTTTTTGTTGCCAAAAAATTCTTGTGGCCCACTAACTTTTTATTGCAATGAGAAAAGTATAAGAAAATCAAAATGGACATTTTCACTTTAATAATTAGAATGAAAATTACCACTTAGTAGTAGAAACAGCATCGTCATTGATTGCTGCTACAATCAAAATTAACTATTGTGACATAAACAAAACTAGCATTCTGTGGCCCACCTTAAAATCTTTCTGGGGCCCAGCAGTGGGTTGAGAACCAGTGCACTAGGTGAACATTTTTTTACCGGGGAGGATTTCTTCCCCAGGGTGGGTTTTTGTCGTTCTCAGGGAGGAACTTGAATTTGCTGTAGTATTACTAATTTTCTTCAGTTTTATTACTATACTACTCATTCATGAGCATATTGTAAACAACTTAAATTGTACAAACGCCAGAGTGCGACTTGTGCATAAATAACTAGCTTTCAAAAAAGTAATATTTATGACAAGGGAGGGGTAGACAGTTTCCAAATTTGCAATGGGAGGAATTTAACGAAAAAAGTTGCTTATTGTAATGAGAAAGTCTCCAATGGAAAACTTGATCTTTTTCTCAATTTGATGGGAAACTTGGTTTCTGACCTATTATCTTACCTATTATCGATGATATTTATTTCACAAATCATTCAGTGATCTGTCTTACTATTGGTGCTATTCATATGCTATGCTGATATACATTATTGGATTGTTATGTAGCGCTTATTATTATTTTTTATACATCTCTAATGTGAAACTATGTATATATGAATTGTTCTAACACAGTTTTGTAAAATATATTACTAATTTACTGCTCTACGAACGTTGAATATCTAGAAAAAAATGTATTCATCCGGTCAGCCGAACTCTTACCGGCAATCACTGAGTAAAACAAAGCGTTAGTCGTCTATCAGCGCGTTACAACAACTCCACGGTTACACCCGCTCCAGTAACCAAAGCTTATTTCCGCGATTACACCCGATTCTTAAGTTGAAATACTCTAAACTGAGTTAGCGATTATGTCAACAAAAGACAAAAATAAATTATATATATGGTATTCACGTTTTTAGCATATTCGCTCAAACTACTTTGCACCCTAAAGCGCCGTAGTCATGGTAAAGTTCCCATCCGGAAAAAGAAGAATGCAAAATTTAAAAGAATAAAATTGAACATACAGTAGTACAGCGGCACAAAGCGATCTCCGTCGATATTTGCGCAGTACATAATAAAGCCTTACGTCACTATCAAATAGCCAAGCACGGGGCAATATCAGGGCGTCTGTTGGTATACTGTCCACCCATGGCTCGTGTTTTCTTACATCTCTGCAAACGACACGTGTAGACCCGGAAAAATCGCTGTTTCACTCGAGAGTAGAGGTAAGATCGGCCCAAGAATTCCAGCCAGGCCTGACCCAGGCCCGTGGGAATTAAACCTGACCCGAGCCCGACTAATTACCTGGATTTGCAGGCCCGAGCCCGAAATTTCGTATATTGTTTAGGAGTTCATTGAATTCGCATTGCAAGAGTTTAGTACAGTATGTGTCGTGTTGATGAGGCAACTTCTGTTTTTTTTTTTTGCAGACCACGGTCTCTCGTGGCCAAAACATGGCCGAAACGCCTCATTTTAAAAAAGTGAGCGATAGAGAAGGCCGACCCGAACGTAATGATTGACATTTCATGTATTGAACACGCATTTCACGGGAAAAGGGAAGCTCCGCGGAACCAAACGTACCTAAAGTAATCAGTAATTTATCCTTCCACCAATGCTGAAAATACGTAAGGTACATATACGGAGTAGAATAAAAGAAGAATAGCATTTCAGGGTGGAGGGAGAGGCCAAAAAAACAGTACTGGTTATCGAGCAGCGACACCCAGGATGAGGTCTAACACAACGTGAAAAAAATAAGCTAAAAATAGAATGCT